ACTGCTTCATTAAGCTAAAGTTGTTCAGGTGACTATAGTGTTCCTTTAAAAATAAGTTCACCCTAGTAAACCTATCCTCTATTGGCACTACCGTCAATAAATTAGAGCAAGGAGTTTTATACCAGTATTACAAGAAGGGAGAAACTATCTGAACATAGTCCTACCTATTTACTTAAAGTGGGATATACACAGTTTATAGCATCCTGAGATTCTATTACGTATCTGGAGTCCTTTACAATTAAGATAAACTGCAACTTATTGCCAGTTATTAACTCTTGATCTCATGCCCCCAAACAGATGCTACTTGGCTAATGTGTTGCCTCTATAGGTTCATCTACCACTATTGACTTACAGCCATTTATATACACACATAAGAGATTATATAAATTGCATCGAGACGGTCCTTTTTAATATCACCAGCACGTTTGATTTTGTGTTCCACTACTATTTTTTGGTCTACATATGTCCAGAGACATTATTAAGTAGAATTCAATAAAGATATTTTCTCATTTTAACTTATACTGTACATTTTGTGCCCCTTGAGTCAGTTTTATCGCTGTGGGTATGCCTGGGGGGACTCTTAGAGGAACGGCTTCTTTCCCTTTACTCTTTTAGTCCTCCAAGGAATTTTTTTCATATTAAGTTATTTAGGGTTTTTGGAGAGATTTTTTTTTTTCTTCTTTCTCAAAATGTTTTTTGAAACTGTAGTTTACTGTATCCCACATTTTAGGGTATAAATCGCATAGTTGGGATTAGAATCAATTCATAATATGCTATTACAAGTTCCTGTACGTTTCCCTATATATTTTGATTATTTGTGTTATACTGAGGTTATCATGGTAGTTTTGATGTAATGTGCATATGGGCTAGTCCTGCGTTAAAATAAAGCGGTGTGATGGTTCCTTTTGGAATTGTGTGTCCAGGTTGGTCTATTTGGGGTTCACAGTAACAGTGTCCGGACCAGTTGGCTGGTTGCTTGGTCCCTGTAGCCCAGGACAAGTAAAAGAGAGCTAGGCATGAGAGCTACAAGTGCCTGACAAATACATCGGAATGGATTAGGAGTGGGGTTATGAGGAATACATGGGATTGGAATGGGTGGGATTTGGAAGAAACACCAGATTAGTGGTGGGGTTTGGAAGAAACACTGGATTAGGGGTGGGGTTTGGAAGAAACGCTGGATTGGGGTGGGATTTTGAAGAAACGCTGGATTGGGGGTGGGATTTTGAAGAAACACTGGATTGGGTGGGATTTAGAGGAAACCGTGGATTAGTGGTGGGATTTTGAAAAAACACTGGGTTGGGGGTGGAATTTGGAAGTAACACTGGACTGGGGTGGGATTTTGTTATGGGCAAATATTACAAGTTTTAGAATGAAATTTTGTAAGTAAACTGTGTACTTTGTCTTTAAGAGAGATTGCAAACTGACAAGGTGTTAGAAATGGAACATATTGTTTTTCATAATGTTTCTTTAAGCAATAACCTCAGTGCATAATATGTTTGCGCCATTTTGTCCCAGACGAATAACAATAACAATAATGCATAAACAAGCTTCAAGGCTATGCTACGACTCTTTCAGTACACAATATACTGTGGTAACCTTAACTAGATAAGGATGTTCAGACTTTAAGATGCCATCTTGAACATCCATGACGTATAAACCCTTTAGTTATGGCCTTGTATGTTTGCCAAATTAAGGGAGGTCCTAAATTGAATAAAGTAAAAGAAGTGTTACTTTTCATATATGAACTACGGTAACCCTAAAATGGAGACACCTAAGCAGGGCCGGTGCAAGGATTTTTGCCGCCCTAGGCAAAAGTAAAGTTTGCCGCCCCCCCCCCCATATGACATCACAATGCCCGATGTTAACTAACGCCAGTGCTGCAGTGCCTCCGTGTTTACATTAAAAGGCCTGCAGGGACAGGCTATAGACACCAGAACCACTACATTAAACTGCAGTGGTTCTGGGGACTAAAGTGTCCCTTTAATGTGAGGTAAATTAGAGATTAGTGCCACGAATAATATACTAGATTGCCTACTTACAATCAGATGAGGATGGTGATGGGCTCTAGCTGCAGTCTGGCTCCACTCGTCTGGTGTAGAACAGGCTCTCTGGAGGCTGTTTGTGTTCTGGGAGAACGGGAAGCAGCTCCATTTTTTGGGGGCCCTTTACACAGCTCAAGGTCTGGGCCCCAGGGTCCACCTTCATGTTCCACCAATTAGTTTGTTCACAGGAGTAGGGGATGTCCTGATATGTGTGTAAGGAATGCATTGTGTGAATCTGTGTTTGTATGTGTAAGGGCTGCAATGTGTGTTTCTATGTATGTACGGGATGCAGTGTGTGCGTCTGTAAGGGGTGCATTGAGTGTGTGTAAGGAATGCATTGTGTGTTTCTGTGTGTGTAAGGGATGCATTGTGTGTAAGGGTTGAATTGCTTGTGTGTGTGTGTGTCTGTGTGTGTAATGCATTGTGTGTTTTTCTGTGTGCAAGGGTGCATTGTGTGTGTGTGATGGATGTCAATCTCTCCCCCCTCCCTTGTCACTCTCTTATCCCCCTCTCCCTCCCTCGTCACTCTCTTCTCTCCCCAACTTGTCTCTCTCTTCTCCCCCCCCTTGTCCCTCTCTTCTCCCCCCTCTTGTCCCTCTCTTCTCCCCCCTCCCTTGTCACTCTCTTCTCCCCTGCGTGTCCCTCTCTTCTCCCCCCTCCCTTGTCACTCTCGTCTCCCCCGTTGTAACTCTCTTCTCCCCTCCCCACTCTCATTCCCCCTCCTAACCCCGTCAATTCCCCTCCCTGTCAATTTCTCCCCCCCCCACCTTGTCAATTTATTCCCCCCACCCTGCCTGTCCATTTATTCCCCCACCCTGCCTGTCCATTTATCCCCCCCTCCCTGTC